ATGGCATTTGCAGGAACAACACAAAAGTGCACAGCCTGCAACAATACAGTGTATCTGGTTGATCGGTTGGCAGCCGACAACCGGGTTTTCCACAAGGCCTGCTTCCGGTGCCACCATTGCAGTGGTACCCTCAAGGTAAATTTGATATGCCTACAATTTTACCGACAAGAGAGAATTGGAAAAAAAAAAAAAGAACCTAAGCTCATGATCTTTTTGGTTCATCTTCTCTATTGTTTTATAATTTCAATAGAACATGATAATATCATATAGATTCTTTTTTAGATGCCAAAAAAACTCGTTTATGACCGCACGCTTTTGATTCAATGATGAAACAAGGGAGCGATGTGTGAACTTGTAAGTTCTCGATCCGAGTTTCATTAATAACTCATAAAATTAATATTTAACCATTTTACGTGGTTTGTCACTGATATATACTTTCATGATTCAACATTTGCGTTATAGACATGAATTCGAAGGATGCATAGTTGAAATGATTCTTTGATACAAAGAAAAACTTGAAAACTTAGACTAATTGCAAATTGATCTCAGTTTACTAGTGGTAAAGGAAAAATGTAGTTTTCCAGACGGCATTTTCTTAGGCTTTATATGTATATGCATGGTATTTGAGCATAATAAGATGTTGCATTAAACCTCTTTTTTAAAATTAGATTTTCTTGGATTTTTTGGATATTGATTGAAATGATCAAACCTTGTAATACTTGGGTCGTGGATCCTCTGTTGTTAAAAAATTAACAACGGAGGTGTTGTTGATTAAAACGGTGTTATTTTGTTAAATGGAACCATGTCATTTTACATCAANTTAAAAAATTAACAACGGAGGTGTTGTTGATTAAAACGGTGTTATTTTGTTAAATAGAACCATGTCATTTTACATCAAAACGATGTCGTTTTGCATCAAAAAGATGTTGTTTTGATCAATATCACTTATGCTATTATTTCTATAACAGCAAGGGAGTTGGACCCGTAATAAATGTTCATATTTCGGGGATAAAAAAAGGGGAAGAAGTAGTATGAATAAAAGAACAAATTCTAAATTTATTCCACTAATTGTTGTGGAAAGAAAAAAAAATTGTCATTTTCAAAGCCAACAATAAAGAGCTCTTATGTGTTTTGATTTTCCTTGGCAGCTTGGCAGCTTCAACTCTTTTGAGGGGGTTCTGTACTGCAGGCCTCACTTTGATCAGCTCTTCAAAAGAACTGGCAGCCTGAACAAGAGTTTTGATGGTAAATCCAAAACAAAAAAATACAAAAAAAAGAAAAATCCATTCTTCAATAGTTATATATATAACATCTTCGACCCTTATTTCAATCTGCTTTCTTTTCTAAATATTTTTTCAGGAACTCCAAAAATCTCGAAACCCGAAAAGCTTGTTGACAACGAGGTGATATATTAAAACTTAGATTGTTATTAAATCATTAGATGGTATCAAAAAATTCATAAAAAAATTCGAAAATGTGATCACTGTTNTATAAATAACATCTTCGACCCTTATTTCAATCTGCTTTCTTTTCTAAATATTCTTTCAGGAACTCCAAAAATCTCGAAACCCGAAAAGCTTGTTGACAACGAGGTGATATATTAAAACTTAGATTGTTATAAAATCATTAGATGGTATCAAAAAATTCATAAAAAAATTCGAAAATGTGATCACTGTTGGCTTTGAACTAATTAAACTAAGAAATGAAATATGTTGTACAGAATGCTACTGCAAACAAAGTGTCAAGTTTCTTTGGAGGCACCAGGGAGAAATGTGTAGGGTGTAACAAGACTGCCTATCCAATTGAGAGGGTAACAAACACAACTCTTCATTTATTTGATGAATATCATGTTTATGATATATGATGAAAGCATAAATACCTGCATAATCACGGTCCAGGGACGGAGCTATGTTAGGGCCTAGTNGGGGTGTAACAAGACTGCCTATCCAATTGAGAGGGTAACAAACACAACTCTTCATGTATTTGATGAATATCATGTTTATGATATATGATGAAAGCATAAATACCTGCATAATCACGGTCCAGGGACGGAGCTATGTTAGGGCCTAGTGGGGCCAAAGTCCGGAAAATTTAAAATTTTTACCACTTATTTTTGTGTAATTTTTTTTTGACCCCCGCCAAAGTCTTAATGTTTCCCTATATTGGCTCTCCATGTTGAAGTTTTTGGCTCGGAGACGGATCATAGAATGACATTTCAACTTATAATAGACAAAATTTCTCAATTTAAACTAGTCGATTAGGTACCTCTGGTCATTCTCTACCAACTTCTNTTTTGACCCCCGCCAAAGTCTTAATGTTTCCCTATATTGGCTCTCCATGTTGAAGTTTTTGGCTCGGAGACCGATCATAGAATGACATTTCAACTTATAATAGACAAAATTTCTCAATTTAAACTAGTCGATTAGGTACCTCTGGTCATTCTCTACCAACTTCTTTCACGGCTGGGAATTCCATATCTTTTTTTATTGGCCTATTTGAACAGGATATAGCATTCATGTCTGTAAATGCATGCTTCGACCCATTTTGCCTAAATACCTCTTCTTCGGCTAGGCCTTTCTTTGATGGCCAGTACCTAGTGCCTTCAGACAGTTTAAGGAAATAAGACCTTTAACTCCTAGGAAGAAGGAAAGAAGGGATGAGCGTAGATCAGGATAGGCATAGAGAGGAAGGAATCCCTTGCAAAGGACGTGAAAAGAGGACTACTCTTTGATCTCTCTCTTACGCTCTTCTATGATTTGAAGCATTTCATTTCCGATATATCTGCTAAATTTAACAAATTTTTGGTCACCTTGAATTTCCTTCTCATCTCAACAAAAAGCCCAATTAGTATACATATAGGATTTGAATTTCTTTGTCTAGAAACATGATGTGAATTTGCATGATAAAATAAGATTTCAATCCCCAGAGAGAGTATTATTTAGGGAATAACATTGTTTTCTTTTAAAGGTGAGTGTCAATGGAACAGCATACCACAAGAGCTGTTTCAAATGCACCCGTGGAGGTTGTACAATAAGCCCATCCAACTACATTGCTCATGAGGGAAGACTCTACTGCAAGCACCACCACACCCAACTCTTCAAGGAGAGAGGAAATTACAGCCAGCTCGAGACCGACTCGGAAAAAGAGCCACTGCCAACTTCCATGGAAATTGCTGTCGCTTCGTGAACTACTTGAACTGTCGTCTTCGTTTTCTCTCTCTTCTGCTTTCCTTTGCAAACATGCTGTTTCATTGCATTGTTGAAATGGTTTAGTCTGAATTGTTTGCGTTCTAAAATGGGCAACAATGATGCTTTGGGTCATTGTTTGGGCTTTGTAGTTTGTCATGGGGTTCTTGTGTGAATGTGTTGAAAGTCTGGGTAACTTGAAATGTCACTTGTTTCAGCATTTGCATAATGAAACATTGTTGCTTGGAATTCTGTTTATTTTAAGCTGGCCCTTTTAAGTTTTAACAAACATGTACTCATAAGTTAGGGTTTCAGTCGAATTGTGCAGTATTTTGGCCAGTGTCATTTCAAATTCGTATTGAGCATTAATCAATCCAAACTGATCTTTCAAATAATTTAATACTAACTCAACATATTTACCAAACTTGTGTTCACCCGTAAATCAAAAACCAATGACTAGGAGTTCAATCACTTTCCACGAAATCCATCACCCATACGTCTTTCATAAAGTGAAATTTTTCTACGAATGTTCATATATATCAAATTAAGAAATGAAAAAAGTTCAATAATAAAACAATTTGGTTTTTGTATAACACCATGTCAAATGGATTTGTCTTGGTCAAAATCAAGCTTTCCATATTTGGCACCAACCCAACTCGTTTATTCTATGTGTTAGCAAATCCCGTCTTTTCAATTGTGTTGAAAACTAATCAACCCTATCTTGCTAATTTCATATCTAACACTNATATTTGGCACCAACCCAACTCGTTTATTCTATGTGTTAGCAAATCCCGTCATTTTCAATTGTGTTGAAAACTAATCAACCCTATCTTGCTAATTTCATATCTAACACTCATATTAAATGTGAGGAAAATTATCACCTGGTCAAGCTAAGCTTTGCATGAGGCTATGAGCTTAACCAGTTGGGAATGCAGTAAGCAGAGGTGGTCTAGGTTGAGAATTACCTTGTAAGGCCTTTGGGCGTTAACCGAGCCTTGATACTTGATTATATATTTTGTAATCCTCTTTTCCCTTAATCTCAATTTATATTTTAGCAAAAAAAAAAAAAAAGATTCAAGCCCAAACTTGGTCACAAGTGCAAAACAGCTAAATTACATACTCTTCTATCCCAAAAGTGGTCAGAATAATATACATGAAACACCAAACAAACATTGCAGCCAGAATCCAACTATTACTATTTCTTTGTATCTTCTATTTACAATATCCGAGGAATACAACCTTAAGCTCCCAAAAACTGTTCATACCAATTTACCAAGGAACAAGCTTTCCAAAGTATGCAAAAGTTTCCATGCATGTAATTCTCTATAAAAAAAAAATTGTCCACGTAGTTGATCTGGTGAATTAAGATCACACTGGATTTCACTGGCCACAAAAGACTAATCATATANACTCCCAAAAACTGTTCATACCAATTTACCAAGGAACAAGCTTTCCAAAGTATGCAAAAGTTTCCATGCATGTAATTCTCTATAAATAAAAAAAAAAAAAATTGTCCACGTAGTCGATCTGGTGAATTAAGATCACACTGGATTTCACTGGCCACAAAAGACTAATCATATATATAACTACAAACAAAGTTGGCTGAAATAACCTAACCTAACTTGGTTACTACGAAAAAATGCTCCGCTTCAGGTATCATCATAACCCATTTTGTAAATATCCATCAAGCACGAATCATCTGCACATTTATGTACACACATAAGTTAATCAAAGGGAGAAATAAATCAAAGCAAAACTAATTGGTATAGGACTGGGGATACAATACTTTTTTCCTTGACAGGAGTAGGAAACACAAGTCAAAAGAAAGATACAAAGCGGTTAAAATCCTTAACGTATGAATATAGTCTGAGACACCCAAGTTACCAAATCTATGATGCCATCACTTTAGTTTTATTAACAGACAGAAGGAAAATAACAGCATATTTTATAGGCTGGCACAGTTTATTTAGTTCTGATTGCTGACCTAAGCTGAGCAATTTGAGGACTAACCAAGTTTTTTCCCTGGAGAGTTTCGACCAAAATATTATCTGGAACCTGAACCTGTAGGCTAAACATGAATTCTTTTTTGGACCAATCAAAAGTGAGGTTCTGCCTTTTATCAACAGAAGGAAATTCTCTCAAAAAAGAAAGAAGAGGTGACCAAATTTTCCCTATGTAATACTGAAAATCCTCAATAAAGCTTTTCAAGCAACTCAACTTAAGGAATTACACCGGAAAGAAAGTGACGTATGAATACTTTACCATCCTTGGGGTGCTTCTCCCTGTCAGTGTCTTCATTGCTGCTTCTGCAAAAGCTTGCGCTGCTTCTGCATCGGCTTCTGCTGCCTCTGCCTCCCTTGCTGCCTGTTCAGCTTCTGCTATGGCAGCTTCTGCCTCAGCAACTGCTTGAGCAGCAGCTGTAGCAGCCTCTTGTGGAGTCATACTCCTCATCTTTGCTAACTCTAGATCAATCTGTGATTTGGTATGAACATTCATATCATCCCTATCAATTTTAGGAGAAGTCTTTTGCTGCCTTCCCTCCAAAAGTAACAAGGAAGGCTGTCTTCTTTTGTCAGATAATGCTGAAGTTGGTGCAATTCTGTACTTGCGTTTCGTCTCCAAAAGCAATAACAAACCTAAGATTAAAATCAAGCCCAGAAGCAAGTGGACTTCTAAAATACAATAAAACGACTTTAAGAAAACTAAACTCATTGAGAGACTTTAGGTAAATATGATCAAAGGTATAAACTGTAGAGAGTCTAAGTGGCATTGGCCAGATCAGGAGACCCAATGAGGAATTGTGTCATTGAGGTACCAAAGCAGAAATTGTATAAATCTATGAGTAATATGGTAATTCAGGTACATAACCACCTACAAGAATTGTAGGCACAATCTACATCACTTAAAACCGGTAACAAATATAAAAGCATTCCTCCTCCTCCAATGTGCTCTCTAACCATTCCAGGTAGGCTGACCTTAACCTCAGTTCTCCATTTTTTCTCATTTCTAGTAGTTCCAAAACAACCCTCTCCAACATTCACTAGTTTTTTTTTTTTTGATCACACTCCAACATTCAATAGTTGAATGCAAATTCACACCTTNTGGCTGACCTTAACCTCAGTTCTCCATTTTTTCTCATTTCTAGTAGTTCCAAAACAACCCTCTCCAACATTCACTAGGTTTTTTTTTTTTTTGATCACACTCCAACATTCAATAGTTGAATGCAAATTCACACCTTCTGTCAAGTCAAAAATCACATATAACATATTGCATTTAGTTAGGAGCCTAATTTACTTCATTATTAGCAACATGCTACCCATCTGTAGTATTGATGAGTAGGTACTAGCGATAATGCATTTAGTACCAATAGTGTACATTGCTAGCTACAAATTTTCACTTTTTCTTTCAGCAATGTCCACATTCCATTTCATGAGAATTGAGACAATATTTAATTTCCAATGATGTCCAACTTCAAATGTAATGGTTTAGAGTATCTGAGAAGAGCGAATTACAAGTGGTTTGATCTTTGATTTGTTTAACCAAAACTATCCTAAGCGGCTAAGCCTATTCCAGCATAAGTCCAGATTTATCCCCAAGTTCAATTGAATAGAAAGAGGAAAAGTTTAATGACTAATTCTAATGTCCAAATGCTTTAGGAAAGAACTTAGAGAAGGAAAGAGGAACACAGATCCTTTTTTTTTGAACAGTAGGAACACAGATCCTTTTTTCAGTATATTTCCAAACCAAAATTTCGGAAGTTATACCACCCAATGCAGTAAGCATGCACTTGAGAAAAGTTGAAACCAAAATAGAAACGAACAAAAAAAAGGATGAAAAGAGAGAAATATTAACCCAATGGGATTGTTTCAACTTTATGGATTTGTTGTTAGGGTTTTTGTTCTCATTGTTTAAACCTTTTTCTCTTCTCTGTCCGTAAATCCTAAAAGCTCATCTAGATTCTTAGCTTGACTCAGCTCCATAAGAACAGGAACTAGGATTGACAACATGAAGCATGGCCAGCTGCTCAAGAGATGCCTAGTTAAAATAACCAGACATACAACACAGCAAAAGGAAAAAGAGGGTGAGAAAGGGAGTCCTCATATCTTTGGAGGCTTGCAAATATATGCACTCCAATTCAACCATTACTGAATCAGAATTCAACTCCAGTGCAACTAAATTGCTAAAGCAGCCTATATAATTAATTGTGCAGTTAAGCAGAACCCAAAAACGAACAAGTAAGAAGCACGATTTTAAAGAACAATGAACATAAAGGATTATGCAACAAAAATGGGGATCATAGGCATCAATTTTTTCTGGGGGATTCAAATGAATGTTGGAACTCCTCAGCATAACGATATCGGTTTCTAATATTTTTTATTGGAATTTATCCACTCATAATTCATACTGTAATTCTTACATAATTTATGTGTTTTTCTTATTTTTAAGTAATTATCATGAGGGTAAACTACTTTATTCCCACTTTTTAGTGTGTTTGAAGCTCTGGGCTACATCTGCTTTTTTGATAGTATAGTAGAAGAGGGATAGTGACAACACTGGAAAACCTTCTTTCTTATAATGGATTTAATAACGGTTGTTACATAAGGAAGACGGTGACCTCTGATATCGTTTTTGGTAATTATTATGGTTTTCAAAAAAGCGCATGTCCTGATGGGATGTGGGTGTGCAACAGCCCTCATTTACTCAAATATGCTAATTTTACTAATGAGTAGTAGCTAAAAATTGTCAACAAAAATCAGAACCTAGAAAATAATAGAGAGGCTCTTGCAATAAGATTATCTGCATCCCCTTGCAGAGAATTCAATCATCCAAGTGACACTCTTCACTCATTCAAGAACCAAATATGACTTTTAGTAAATTTATTAATGAGTAAGCCCAACATGTTAAACTATATTGCAGATTGGCATACTCGATGGGCACCATATGGATCAAGCAACTGTCCATACTTCTTGTATTGAAAAGTAAAACATGAAAGATAAGATCCATATCTTCTGGTGATAAACTAGTTTCATGTCATCAAAGTCAATTTGACACAGCTACTGGACACCATGTCTGAGACCATTACACCTTAGATATGTGGCAATAAGGGGGTTAGAATTACCTTGATAAGTTTCCCACTTGCAGTCAAAAACTTCAATTTTGCAGACAATAGTCTCTTAAAGTTTGGAGGTGCCCAGTATTGTTCCTACAAAACAAACACCACTGAAGGCTGTAATAGAAAATGCAATGGGCAAGAACAGAAACAACTGTATGGAGCAATAAATCTCAATCTTAAAGCTTAGAGAGGCTTCCACACTATGTAACAATTATGGACGACTACTTGGGTGATATAAATAGTTGGTTGTCGGAATATTTATAAAACTTGGTGATACAATTTACAATAAAGTACCTGGCAATCTTATCTTAGTTCACAAAATGAATAAATCTGCATTAACAATAAAACCACCTCTATGTATGTAGCAATAGTAGTCTTGTTAGAACCACCAGGCTCCCTCAAATTGCTAATGGCCTCCATTATGAGATTGTCCAACCTGTGGCAAGGAAGAAAGTCATATGTAAAACAATAAGTAGTGCAGAAAAAATTACAATTCATAATAACAGAAGATTTCCCAACATATATCACCGGAATCTATTGCTACTGGCCTTGTCGAGATCGTAGTAGATTATAAACTTCCAATCACAAAGCTTTTTTTAAACCTATCTATGTATAACTTCGAAAGAAAGGTAAAACTTTGGGTGAATGCAAACAATTTAAGATAAATTTCTCTATTCAATCTAGTTTGCAGGCACGTAAAGCAAATTAGAAATTTGAGGTGTATGCAGTCCAAGAACAGTGGTGCAAGGTGCTTTTCTTCATCGATAAGAATTTTTGTCAACTTGAAATATGTAAAACTTCTTGATTTAAGAGTGTTTAATTGCAAAAGTTCCATGTGAAATAAGACCATGCCACATTTACAAAAATAATATGTCTAACCTCATGCTAGATCGTTTTGCAACATTAATAGGTGGAGAACCAGCAGACACTGCAAGAGGCTTAGCATCGACAGTTTCTTCGTCGCTTTGTGATACAGGAATAGTAGCCATAGGGTTTTCTTCCTGCTTAGGGACCTGTTGCATCCTTTTCAATGCTAACCTGGCCCTCTCTCGAGAACCCCATCCATTTGCCATCACACTCATGTTCCTCCACTTGTCCTATTTCAAACCCATATAAATTACAAAGCAATATAACATTTCAGATAGCCAAGTATCTTGTGAAGAAATCAACTAATATTTGTCATATGGACTCATCAATCTCAACATCATTCAAGCAAATAAACTATCACAAGAACATACTGAAAATTTTATACCTTGAGATCTACATTTGAACGCAGATATAATACACCACTAAATTCTGGGTCTTTAAGAATTGTTCGCCACTTGCCGGGCCCATGCTTAAGAACTCCAGCTTTAAGAGCTGCTTCTTCTTCTGGGGTCCATTTTTGTTTTGGAGCACCCATCGAAAATAGCAAAGAAGGCAGTATCAAGAAAAAAAAACAATCTGCACCACAAAGAACATAATAATCAAGCCACCAGATCAAATTTTAGTGCAACTAAGCAAAACAGGTCCATCAAATTCAATAGGAGACAACCTTTTACTCAANACAATCTGCACCACAAAGAACATAATAATCAAGCCACCAGATCAAATTTAAGTGCAACTAAGCAAAACAGGTCCATCAAATTCAATAGGAGACAACCTTTTACTCAAATCAGAAGCTCAACAATGAATAATTTCGTAATACACATCCTGACCCCCTTCTGTTTTCCAAAAGTCTCCCAGAAATCACACAAAGTCTTATAAAATAATTATATTTTGAAACCTCGGAGGTTCTTATTGCCAACAATTGAGTGCCTTTTCCAAATATACAACGAACTAATTCATATGTTTCAACAAAAATCCCAATGGGAAATGTGTTCATGAAAATTTCCCAGCGGAAGCTTTATTGAATTTCTGAATTTAAATTGCAGTTTCGAGAGGACTAATATAAACGTATAACATTACTGCTCAAGGAAAATATTGATGTAGCACAAAACGAAACCCTAATTTACTTCACATCCATACCAATTATCATGAAGAGAGAGAAACCAGTCATAATTCAATCGAAAAACAGGAATTGTATGAAGAGAGAGAAAGATATAGATAGAATTACCAGATCAGATCCTGAGATTTGAATATTGATTTGATTCTGTGTCAAAGATTCGATAATCTGAAGCTCTCTCTCTCTCTCTCTCTCTCTCCACCTGGTTTCTACTCTGAAGAACCAACACATATTTTTCCCAATGTTGGGGATACCGGAACGTTTAAAATTAACGGACAGATAATAATAACTTTACAGCAGGTGGTGACATTAAGGAGTTCGGCGACACTGCTACACGCCCAATTTTAAATGCAACTCGTGTAACATACACAAATTCAATAAAAAATTAAAATGTTTAGGTTGGCATAATTCAAATAAAATGAAAAAAGTTAAAATATAAATATATATCATCAATTAGATGAGTGTAAGATGAGTGGATCCCATTGAAAAAATTAATAGGACCCACTCATACAAAGCATAATATACAATTGAGTTATAATTTTTTAAGTTTCATTTGGATTTTATAGTTTTGCTCAATAAATAGATTGATTCCAACTTACCTAAATGCAACGTAACTGTTAAACATTACTTATACACAATATGAATATAATTATAAAAAATACTACACACCTCAAATAGAACTTAAAAATTGTAAATCAAATACGTATCATCCTTTAGGTGAGATTGGATAAATGAGTTCGATTAAAAAAATTGATGAAACTCACTCATGCAAGGGCTGATATCTATGCAGATAGGTCACTTCACATATCTGCTTGAAAATATCGTATCTTAGCACCACACAAGTTATCTGCAGGGGACCCTACTGCACCTACACCGATGTTTAAATTAAGGTTTCACTGCGTGCTCTAAACGCTGAAAAGTAAGTTTAGTCCTGACGAGCTATCGTAGTTATAGAGACTCGAACCTAAGTATTGAGCGAAGAAATCCGAGTTTTTACCCACTAGGACAATCATAGTTTTAAAAAACAGCTTGGCCCGACAAGTAGACCCGAGAACCCAGTGAGCCGACCACTAAGACGGTTTGGCTATGTAATTAGATCGTTTAAGTAAAAAAAATGGCTCAAAATTTGTCAAATCGGACGATTTTAGAAAAAATCGTAAAATCAGACGGTTAAAAGAACCGGATGGGTCAGTTGGTTGTATAAAAATCAAAGAAATTGAACATTTTTTGCCCTAGTCTGAATTTCTTAACTCTCACAATCTGTCTCTCTGTCCATTCTCTCATCACTGACTCTCCCTCAATCGCCACCAGCCACCATAACGACTTTCTAACTCCGATAAAATTCGAGTTTCGTCCCATTTCTCTCACTCCTGTGGCCCTAAAATCTCAAGAATCACCTCTTATCTCTCATCGATTGTCTCTCGTTGTGTGCATCCCATCTCCCTTCTCTCTTACAAGTCACACACCAAACTGGAGATTTTTGTGATATTTCCTCTCTTAGTGGTAGCAATGCAAGAGAATAAAAGGTAATTTTTCTCCTTTATGTTTGTAATTATTTAACTCCATTTTTTTTTAAATTCTTTTTTGTCTGGGCTTGTGCTTCTGGTGTTCAATTTGGATTTGTTTGTTTACTAGAATTATTATTATTATTATTTTATATGTCATTGTTGGTGGTTCGATTTGGGGATATTGACTCTGGTGGTTGTACTTGTTTTTGAGTTCTTTAATTTAACACCCTGCTTTTGATCTCACTTGCATTGGACAATGACTATGTATTGGATCAAAAAATTAAAATCAATATAAAATTAGGGAGTCATTTAATTTTTATGGCTTTTTAAAATTTTTTACAATATATATTAATTTTTAAATTTTTTTTTATTATATGACTGGTTCAACCAGTAATCCGACGGTTGAATCTAGGACCCATTAATCCGAACACTTTATCGAGTTGAGGTCCAGACTAGTTTTTTAAATTATGGGGCCGACAGCTCGTTGGTAGTTAATCTAAAAGTCTTTTGGAAGTCGGTTCACCAAATTAAACATATTCGTAAAAAAATATATAAAACAAAATATTTTGGAAAAAAGTACACAGTTAAGATACAAAGACATAAATGCCCATTTTGTAAAAAAAAATTTCTAAAAACTTTAACAAGACATTTATTAAGCGCTGAAATTTAAGGTCATTTAATTCAAAATCTCTTATCTTTAATGCACCTTGATTCATGCGTATTTTCTTTTTTTAAAGTGATTTTATTATCAAATTATATTTATGCATTAAATATTTACTACTATTAGTTTTATAGGAGAATTTTAATATTTCATTTATTTTACAATATATCATTTTTTTGAATTTCAAAATTTGTTAATATCCGAACTCTATAATAGTGTAACAAAAACAGTGTAACCAATACACTGTAACAAAAACAGTGTTCAATAGGTTTGTACATGTGATAACAAATTTCAAAACGGAGATGGACTATTTTGAACGAAATTATATGAAAATATATGTTGGATAAAATGTAATAGTACAATATTTTGTGTAAATGACTTGGTACACTGTTATTGTTATATTGTCACACTGTTTGAATATTAATACAATTTGAAAACAAAATCACTTTCTAAAAAAAAAAATACTCATGAATCAAGGGAGGACATACAAATATAGAATATTAAAATTCTCCCATAAAATTAAGAAATATTTAATGCACCACTTTCTAAAAAAAATACACATAGATCAATGGAGGACAAAAATATCACAAAAAAATCAGTAAAATTCAAATAATATACTTAGATACAAATAAATATTAAAATTAAAGACTCAATTACCCAAGTTATATCACCCAAAAACCAGACTTTTAATTGAAAGCAGAAATCCAGAATCATAAGAAAATAATACATTTCCAAATGAAGATCCAAGTTATTTAAAAACAAAATATAAAAACTAGAAAATAAGAACCCATTTGTAAAGAAACCCATTGGAGGCCGGCCCCCATTTTTACGCCAAATGGCCGAATTTTCTTATCAGAAGCAGGCATCTAATAGGCAGCAACAGCACAGACCAGCCAAACTGNTAAGAACCCATTTGTAAAGAAACCCATTGGAGGCCGGCCCCTATTTTTACGCCAAATGGCCGAGTTTTCTTATCAGAAGCAGGCATCTAATAGGCAGCAACAGCACAGACCAGCCAAACTGCACATTTTTAAAGTCAACCAATCAACATCAAATCAAATTAAAGAATTCTACCATCTTCAAATAATAATAATAATATCCGATAGAACGTAAACATATATCTGCCTAAAATCAACAAGGGAAAGCGATTCGTGATTCCTAATTCCTCCTAGTATTGCAAAGCAAATTGGCCACCATCATCCATTACACAAANTGCACATTTTTAAAGTCAACCAATCAACATCAAATCAAATTAAAGAATTCTACCATCTTCAAATAATAATAATAATATCCGATAGAACGTAAACATATATCTGCCTAAAATCAACAAGGGAAAGCGATTCGTGATTCCTAATTCCTCCTAGTATTGCAAAGCAAATTGGCCACCATCATCCATTACACAAAATGCTCATATTGCTACTTCAAACATAATTTACCACAGATAGTTGAAATTATAAACAATATCTCCAAAATTCTGTGATACGTCATTTTTTTTTTTCCATAAAAAAACAGTAGCAACCATTGATGCGATTATACAAGTATGCAAGGGATATAATTTTAGCGAAAAAGAAAAGCTTATTCCTTCCATCATTAAGCATGTATATCCAACAAAACTCAATACTGCCTTGAAGTGTTTGACCAACATTTTTGTATATATATAACNATAATATCCGATACAACGTAAACATATATCTGCCTAAAATCAACAAGGGAAAGCGATTCGTGATTCCTAATTCCTCCTAGTATTGCAAAGCAAATTGGCCACCATCATCCATTACACAAAATGCTCATATTGCTACTTCAAACATAATTTACCACAGATAGTTGAAATTATAAACAATATCTCCAAAATTCTGTGATATACAAAAACAGTAGCAACCATTGATGCGATTATACAAGTATGCAAGGGATATAATTTTAGCGAAAAAGAAAAGCTTATTCCTTCCATCATTAAGCATGTATATCCAACAAAACTCAATACTGCCTTGAAGTGTTTGACCAACATTTTTGTATATATATAACCCACACCNCGTCATTTTTTTTTTTCCATAAAAAAACAGTAGCAACCATTGATGCGATTATACAAGTATGCAAGGGATATAATTTTAGCGAAAAAGAAAAGCTTATTCCTTCCATCATTAAGCATGTATATCCAACAAAACTCAATACTGCCTTGAAGTGTTTGACCAACATTTTTGTATATATATAACCCACACCAGGTCTCATTATTGGGTCACGATATATTGTATNAGCGAAAAAGAAAAGCTTATTCCTTCCATCATTAAGCATGTATATCCAACAAAACTCAATACTGCCTTGAAGTGTTTGACCAACATTTTTGTATATATATAACCCACACCAGGTCTCATTATTGGGTCACGATATATTGTATCACCATTTCATTTTTATATTTACTCACATGGATGGATTCTTAACAAGCCTTACCACCCACTCCTTGTTTTACTCTCTAATGTTTGACCCCAATTGTTTTGTACAGCAAGATAATCACATGCACAATACAATGCTCAGGTTAATGCAAATTGCACACATTTTTTATTTTTTATTTTTCAATTGAATCGATGAAAAGGTTTTTCCCAATTCCCATACTNTGCTCAGGTTAATGCAAATTGCACACATTTTTTATTTTTTATTTTTCAATTGAATCGATGAAAAGGTTTTTCCCAATTCCCATACTAGAATTCCTTTTTTAGAAATCATATATTAATCTTCCGGTTATGACAAAATTAAGGTCTAAAAACCCGAAGGGTCAGCTCAAATGGTAAGAGAAGACTTCTCTGGCGGCAACCAAGAGGTCCCCGTTTTGAGTCTTAGGGCCACCTACCTAGGGCGTAATCCCAACGATTTACCTGGCGCGTGTGGTTAGTAGGGTATTGCACGAGCTTGGAGGATTTCTCCGTCGTTGAGTCTGNATAATCCCAACGATTTACCTGGCGCATGTGGTTAGTAGGGTATTGCACGAGCTTGGAGGATTTCTCTGTCGTTGAGTCTGACAACAAACTGTTGGA